ACATGTTTTCAACTAGTTTTTGTTATGTAACACTTATTTACTTACACATGAGGATAGATTTTCATAAAAATTTTAATTTTTTATAACATTTAAAATTTCTTTTTGTGATTTTTTTTTTTGGAGACCTACAAAAATGTTATTGAACAATTTTCACCAAAATTATTTATTTTTTTTTTTAATTTTTGGGTATACAGTTGCAAGTGGTTAAGAGTTCGCGTCAATTTTTACTCCAATGAATGAATGAATGAAAATTAAATTTTAATGTCTGGTTAACACTAGCAACAAGTTAAACATCATTAACGACGTTATTGACTCCCTGTTATTGGTTATGGAGTCGATAAAGATATTTGGCGTGCAGCTAGTGTTAATCAGACATTGGGAAACCTGGCCTGGCCCCTGGTTAGATTAGGACAAATTGGATTAGTTTAGTTGGTGTAAGCCCATTTCATTTGTTTAAGGCAAGAGTGCCCGAAAAAGTTGCTCCCTATTACCCACTTGCTATTTAAATCATAAATCAATAGAAACGAGTTGTGTTGGGTATACAAAAAAAATCCCAAAGTGATAAAAACTTTGTGAAGATATATCGACGTTGGACATTCAAAACAACTCCAGACTACAACGGAAACATCAAGACAACAAAAGAGAAATAAAACAGATTTCAGCAAAGTAGAATGAATTATTTTCAAAAGGGCAACATGCATAAGTTACAGCTGAATGCAAGAGTATGTGCAGATGCCAGCAAAAAAAAAAACGGTCATCCAAACACCGTAATTTAGCACTTTAGTTAAGATGGGCGTCATGGCGGGGCGTACATGGCACTGGAGTAAAACTTATACAATGTAAAAACAATAAATGAGAACAAATGAAAAAAATCAAAAAAAAGTGCCAAACAAAAGAGAAATGCATAAAAATGTTAGAGAATTGTGAGTAAAAAAAAACGCACATTCACAATACTGTAAAACAGCGAAAACGATGGCGCCACTTGGCGGCATTGTGGGCGGATATGAAGAAGTGCAAAAAATGAGTTGCAACAAAAAAGCTACACAAGCGTGTGAGTAGTTGTGCATATATAATTTAATACGGCAAATGAGAATCAGGAAAAAGCTTAGAAAAAACGCATGGAAAAGTGAAAAGAGATTTAATGAAAATTGCATTGCAACTCAGCCAAACGGTTGAGCAGAGTGCAGCGCACAGCAGCAGCGGCACCCAAGCAAAGTTCAGCGTAGAAAAAATGTAGTAAATGGAATGAGTAAGAGAGGCGAAAGACGTAGCAAAACTTCATAAGCAAAAAAAGAACACTCCCTCTACTTTTTCGCTTACAGGCGGAATCCACTCTACTGCTGTGTCCTTGCGCATCCCCCTGCGTAGATAATCAAATCAGCTTAATGCAAGATAAGAGCAAATTAGAAAAGAAGTGCGAAAAAATAACACTGGAAAAAAAGAAAATGGTTAAACTTTAACAAGCTGCAGCAGGGACTAATTATGAGCGCTCATAAATCAGTTGATAATTTGCAAAAGTTAAGCTGCGCACTTTGCTTTGCTTTGCTTGCTTGCTTGCTTGTTTGCTCTGACGCACCTAAAGTGGAATTTAATTGCAATTCAGCACAGGCAACGACGATTCAATTTACAAGTCAATTGGCTGTGTGCAAACTGGGTTTATATTGGTATTGGAGTATTGGTAATCTATTCAGCGCGTATCTTTATGATTCTTGCCCCTTAAGTGGTGTTGTTATTGGCCCATTCAGCGGATTAGCGCTGCTTTTTTTGTTCTGCGATATTTTATTTATTGAATTGGCTTAATTAGTTAGACGATAATAAGATGAGCGTTCTTATAAGCTGCTAATTGGTTTAATGAAGATAATATAAAGAGAGTACGTACGCTGATTTAATGAGCCGGAAAATATTTAGCTTATGATTTTAATAGGTATCATTGAGTATTGTGTGTAGTAAATGTACAAGAATTGCATTATTTTGAAATGAATTGATTTCATACTTGGGCCATTAAGATTCGTTTATTTCGACTTATTTGAAAATCTCTGAGGAGTATAATGACGCTGATAATTTAGAGCAAATTATATATATAAGATAGTTCGTAATTACAGCATTTCGTAAATAAATTGGCCACTGCATTTTGCAATATTTACCTTTTGAATTAAACATAAAAATTATTTATAGTTTTGCATTCATTTCACTTAAGCTACTTATGCAAGAATAATAGTTAATTTCCACCAAGCCCGAACTGCAGTTTATGCCTATTGGAAAAAGCAGACTACAACTCGAAGGGAGGAATTGCTCATACCTAAGCACAAGCAAACGAAAGGAAAAAAAGCTAAAATGAAGAAACAAACCTTGTCGATCAAATCTCGTTAAAATTATTGTATTTTGTCTGAGCTCTTAACTGCAGTTAAGCGTTTGTTGGAAATGGGCTATAACTCGAGTGTAAGTCGGAATGTATGTAGGAAATGGGTGCTCGCAAGAGGCCAAATATTAAGGTCCACCCCAGTATATCACCTATGCGACACTAGAGGTGGAAAAACATCGACGGGACTATCGATATTTTAAAACTATCGTTTCTACCGGTTGTAGAGTAAGAACAACAAGTAAATTGCCAGTAGTGGGAAAGCATTCTTAAATAGTGAGTGCAACGATGGGTATTGGTGACTCTTACATGCGTGACGACGTCTTAGTAACACTTAGTTTTCATCTGTGTATACCACAAAAAAAAAATCTGCAGTTTGGAAATATTTTTCGAAATCTAAAGAAAATCCATCTATAGCGATTTATTCTTTTTGTAAATAGAAGTCCAAATCGGGGGCCGAAAATAAAAGGTATTCGTGTTTCAACGTTATAAAAGACCATGCAAAATATTGCCGTAGAACAAGAATCCCAGATACTTTTTATTTTTCTAGCTTTCTTGAAAAAAGTCCAATAATAAATCCGGAGCTTTTTGTTTTATTTAGATTTTATTGTTTTAATAAGAAAACTATTTTTTAATTTAATTTCATTTTTATGTAAGTATTTATATTACGGAACAGTACTGCCAGGTTTAAGTGTTTTTTGCTGTAACGCTTAGAAAACTTTCTGCTAAAAGACGGAGAGAATAACGCTAAGGCCTACTTGCTAGCATGGAGCTCGAAGTGTTTTCTATTAAAAATGCTACAGTTTTGCCTATTTTTTACACACATTTTAAGAAAGATGAAGTAAACAATCCACTCAGATGCATCTGATTTCGGTATAGGACCAGTGTTGACCCAGAGCAGGTCCCTGAATAAGAATGAGAAAAATTAGTCGACAACAAAGAATGAGTGACCAGCGGTCCTGTGGGTGGCAGAGAAATTGCTACTGTTGAGGGCGCTATTCCTTGGTTTGAGTTAATAATTTGAAGGACCTATGCGGTAGGTTGGCGCGTTGAACTTTAACGTGGCAGCATTACGATTTTGAGATCGTCAACCGGAAGGGCAAGGAACATGTGGTTCCGGATATGTTGTCCAGAAGTGTACCGGTTGTTTCTGAAGTTTCTACTAGTGACCCTTGCTTGTGGAAAATGATTCGGTCTGTTGAAAACGAAGCCTTGTCATACCCAGCGGGAAGAATAGAAGGCGGCTGCCTTTACAAGTTCGTTAGGCCGAAGTTCCCCTCTATTTATGGAAATTCATCGGATTGGAAAAAGGTTGTAGGGTGAGAGGAGGAGAAGAAATGGAGGTCTTGAAGAAATGCCATGATGATCCGTTGGCAGGTGTGAGGAATTGTAAAGTTTGTCAGCATGTTAAGCCTGATAATTCATAGCCAGCTGATGAGGTTTCAGGAGCCATGCCATATTTTGTCAACTTTGGTAGGAAGATGGCGTTGGAAAGGAGCAGGGAATAATTGATTAATTGGGAGATCAGGAAAGGAAATATTGGCAGGAGCGAGCGAGGAAGCTCGAAGATATTAGGCAAGTTGTAAGGTCTAGGTTAGAAGAGGCCAGTGGAAAGTAGGAGGAGAAACGTGCAATGCCAGGAGACCTAGTTTGAAGGAAGAATTTGGTATTGTCAGATGCAGCAAATTTCTTTGCGGCGAAGTTGGCGCCGAAATACATAGGAACTTTTCGTAGTGAAAAGGAATGTGTTGCTATGGACATACGCAGGTCGGGATAAAGGGACATGGAATGTAAAGGGGCTAAGTCCATACAGGGATAGATAGGTTGGTTGGAAAAAGAAAGCGAGCTTTCCTTATATATTCTTTGGAATATTCTTTTGTTACTCCTTCGTTTTATTTACATATTTGCTGCCACTCCAACCGATAGAAGTGATGTCTACCGTCACTTAATTGTACGAAACAGGAGCGCCAGCGCAAAGGAGAAAAGTCACCGTTAGGGTCACCGCCACAAAGCGGTGCCGACCTAAAGAAAGAAAGTAAGAATGAGATGACGCAAAAGACCGTAACGGGGGTGTAGCCATGGTGTTGTTTGTGCGCGCCTAGAACAATCGGCCCGGACACTCCAACGGTCTGCTTACCGGTGGGTAGGTTGCAGCCTGGCTCGCAACTGCGTGCTGGGGTAAAACCAAGCGAGCATTGAGTTAGGCAACATCCTTACTGCGAGGGCGAGAGCTTTTGTTTTTAGTGGAGTGCAAAGTTGAAAAAAAGTAACTGTAGTAGGTGCCAGCGAGGCCATTGGGTTGCAGTACCGTAAAGAAATAATTTGGAGGAGCGGCGCCAGTCGAGGTATAGTGAAGTCAGTACCGGATTTGGGAACCATATTCCCAAGGAGCACTACTGCGGTCTGAACTCCCACCGACCGCCGATAAGTATCAGTTCTGTGCGTTTGCGTTCAGGCGTTATGATTGTCGGTAGGCGTCCTCTTACTGTGTTTTCCTTTTGATCCTTTTTAGCCACTTTTGAAACAAATAGTTAGCTCGCGAAACTTTTGCTGCACCAATGAACTTATCTTAATTCATTATAGTAAATCTCTAACTTGATCTTCAAGAAAATCTCACTTAATAGAATCCAAAATATAGGACTCTTTTTTCGAGCTTGCTACATTTATTTATGTTTACTAAAGTGGTCAACAACATACTGCAACTTAAATCATCCTGCATTACAGACTGATTATTCCGGAGTATGTGCTTCGTCCTTCTTTTCTTCCGAAGATGAACTGTCACTCTTCGAACTATCCTATTCCTCTGAAGTATCGCCACTGTGGTGTCCAGCTTCGCCACTGTGGTGGTGTCCAGCTTCGTCACTGTGGCCGTCATGTTCGTGCTCATGTTCGTGCTCATGTTCATGCTCATGTTCGTGCTCATGTTCGTGCAATGCATCACTGGCGTGTTCATCATGTTGGGCAACAACCAACTGGAATAGAGAAGTGGAGATATTTTAAGGGGGTTTCAAAAATACATATTTATATGCATCAATGAAAGGATAATTTATAAAATTTTTAAATCAGTAAATAATTCGCGGGTTGGAATACTAAATTTTTTAGGAGCCTTGCTTTTAATTTTCACGTGAAATTATGTAATTCGTCAAAATTCTCGTTATGAATATTTTGCAAAAAATCCTACTTTTGGAAGATTAATTATATTTTAGTGGCGAAAATATAAATAGGCCAGAGACATTTTAGCATTCTATGGCTATTTCTATATCGATTATTTTATGTTTATTACTTTTTTATGAAAGTGTAGGCTCGTTAGATAACAAAAACCATGTAAGTCAAAATTTAAAACTATTGAAAATTTGAAAAATTCGACAAAGTGCGACAATGTGCAAGTTTAGCAGCTAGAACTTACCGCTGATTTTTTGAAATTTTTTTTTTTGAAGTTGTTGCTCATTTTCTCCATACGAAATAATTGTCGAACAGACTTTGTATGGAAGAAAATGCGTTAACAAAAATATTACCACAAAGCGACAGTAAGTCTTACAAAACTACATACCAAAAAAAAATCTTAAAAATTTGAATCAAAAAATTAAAATTTTTATAAAACTTTGATTTATATGTTTTTTTTTTTTCAGAGTAAGCATAAAAAATAATAGACATTTTTTAAACAAGAAAAAGTAGCCAAGACTTGTTTCTGTTGTAAATTTTTAAATATGTACGTAAATATATTTGTATTTGAAAAAAATTGTTAACGGAAATTTTAATAATCAGATGATATTTCTTCGAATTGAGCCTTTTTTGATTTTTTCAATATATATTAATCTGAAAATTTTACTTTTCACTTCGAGTTCTGTTAAAAAACATTTTTCAAAAATATTTTTAATTTTTTTTCAATTCGATTTTTTTTTTTAATTTTTGAAACAAAGGTGAATTGGGTTTATTTCAAAAAGGGTGTCGATATTTTTTAACTTTAATATATTTGATTTTTTTATAAATTTTTTATTTTTTATTTATTTTTTATTGTTTCTGTTTTGATGAATATGTATCTGTTTTTGCTGCAACCTTTTTGACTTTAATCAAACAATCCTTTTTAACGCCAAGGTCATTAATTTTTTAAATAAACAATTCAACTATATTTGTGTTTGAGAAGAAATTCTGTAAAAAAACTTTTAACGGAAATTTAAAAAATTTGAAATATTTCGCGTTAAAACTTTTTTAATATATTAAAAAAATTTTAATATTCAGTAATATTTTGAAATTTTAGGTATGAATATTTTCCGAAAATCTTACTTTTCAAATCGAATTCTGTTAGAATTTTTGCTTAATATCTACATTTAGTTTTTTCAGTTCGTTTTTATAATTTTTTTTACTTGTCCATTCGAGTTTTGTTAGAAAATGTTTTTAAAAAATAATTTTATTGTATTTCTGTAAATATCAAATGCAAATCTAACTTTTCACTTCGAATTCTATTAGAATATTTTTTTTTATATGTGTGAATTTTTTTTTATTAAATTTTTCTAATTTTTGAGAAAAAATAATGGTTAATTTTATTTAACTTTGTTTTAGGTTTTTTTTTTACTTTAAAAAATTACCTGCAAAACCAGCAGGGTGCACAAAACGACCAACATTGCGCTGTATTTAGCCATTTTTCTTTGAAGTGTTAGTTTTTGTTTTGAAATTTAGAACCGTTTTTAGCGAAAGCTGGAATAGTACTGCTTGAATAGACCTTAACTGACCGCTTATATAGTTCATGCTCTGATCAAAAAAGTTCTCAACACCTACTCTCAACCCTACATATTCGTAGTTATCATAATTATTTATTAATTACCCAACGCTTACACTTTAAATTGGTCACAGCGCACTTTTCTCAATTCCCAGCATATCCATATAATTATTTTAACATCTTCCATAAAGTAAAGCTTTCGCCACTGCTTACTCGTAAAAACATTCATACAAACCAAATAATAAGTTAGCTACATATGTATAAAATATTCCAAGTTAAATTATGACCGCAACAAATTAACATTTTAGTGCTACTTGCAAATACACAACAACAATTTTTGCGCTCGTCAATTGTAAATTAATCCCCTATCAGCGTGTAATTATTTTGTTACTCCCGATTAGTGCAGTTAGCTAATTAAATATCGCCAGGGAATTTGAAGCAGTTAAGAGTTGGAATTAGAATTCCGTTGAAGCTACTAGAGCTTAACTGGCGTCTACATGTGTTAACAAGTGTTAAGGAGAACAGTGTTGTCGTACACGTTACATATAGAGTTATAGGTGATACCCATAACAAGTTTTGTGCTACGAAGTAATAGTATCTAGTACTTACTACTAAAAATATGCGAGAGAATTTTATTTATTCAATTTAGCAGAATAACGATTGCATCTTCTCGCCTCTGGCTAATACTATGTCTCATACAGCGCCAGTTTGATTCCGATTGACGGCTGAGACAGTTAACAACAGTTCATTGAATATTCATACGATTTATTTATTTCGTATGTGTTTAATTATACTCAACTACAATTGTTCAATTGCAAATTTGATTTGTGTAAACTGAAATTATCTCGCATTGATGACTAATATCTATTTAGTTAAGTGCGATTTAAGGTTATAAAAGTACCTCGTGCTTTTAGTTGTATGCATTTTTGCAACGCTCAGAGTGAGATTTGAGACGGATTTTTAAATTTTGTATACCCTTTTCAGCAAAAGGTACTTGCATTTTCCGCTGACTGTAATTTTCATTATGCAAATTCTCTAAAACTGATTTTGGATATGAAGGGGCAGACAGCAACAATTAGTTATTCTCTAAAACCAAAAGGGCTCATTTAACTAAAAGGATTCCTTTAAAGTAGAGGGCTGATTTAATTAATGAATTTTCTCCACGCATTATGGAAATCAGTCCTCTACTTTACTTGTTCTATTATTTCGAAACGGGTTGCCATCTGATACAAAATTTATTTCAAATTATTTAATAAGTTAAATCAACTATTACAATATGAGAAGCGAGGAGCGTTGCTACCTGTTTAAAAATCAAGTTCAAATTAAATAAAGGCAAGTAGAGAATTGAAATATTTCTCACGATATGGGTGTCAGACGAAAGAAGTTGTTGTTTAAAAATATTTTGGAAGGTTGCCACCTGTTTAAAAAGTTAAATTCAATGTACGCAGTATCTTAAATAAATTACTCTAATATATGGATACAAATCAAAATGGCTGTGAAACAAATTTTTGTCTAAACTACATGCAGGAGAGTTGCCTACTAAATTCTATTTGAATTAATAGAACTAGATCATTTAAATCGCAGTAGTAGCTGTTGGATGAAATATTTTTAAAATGTCTTAGTTTTAAACTATTTTAATCATGGTTGCCACCTGTTTACAAAGCTAAGTTCAATGTGGGAATATAGGTTAAATAGTTTACTTCAAACAACTTTTTTTCTAAATTACATGGGGGAGAGTTGCCACCTATTTTAAAAACTAAATTCAACTTGAATTAAGAGAATTAGATGAAGTGAATGTGCATCACAATATGGGTGTCATACGAAAATTTTTTAACACGGTTTTAGTTTTAAACTATATTTTTGCAAAGTTAAAGTCAATGTATACAACGGGTTAAAAGGAATTTATAATTTAACTTACTGATATTAATTCAAATGGCAGTTGCATTGATTGAGGTAGTTGCAATAACCGAATCACAAAAAAGTTCAGTCTTAAAAGAGAATTCAACCGGCCAACAAAAGAAAAATAATATTGTTCACGGTAAGACAAAACAAAAGTATTAATTTTGTTCAGTGGAAAATCATTTCTATGTACATACATACATATGTATACCAAAGTGATCTAAGTGTCTTGGTTAATTTTTTTTGAAAAATTTTAAAATGTTCGTTTGTTTTTTCTTTGGAGATACATATTTGTCGACGGTCGACTCTCTCAACTCCTAAAGCCAATTGAAGGCAACAATTAAACGAAATAAGACATTATTTATAGAAAGTTGCGTTTACTGAGGCACAATTTTTTAAAAAATTGCCATTACTGAGTCCCTAATGGTAAACTGTTTTAAGGGACATCTATGCCTTGATTTTGATCGACTTTGCAAAAAGCCGGTTATGCAAGGCCTTTTTCAATTGCCAAATGAATTTCATTTATACAAAAAATCATATTTGTGTGGCATATTTAAAAGAATTTTAATAAAAAACAAATTATGTATCAGTATGATTCTCTCACGTCTCTCTTTGCACTTAGAAATTTAACTTAGAAATCAAAAATCTAAGTTTCTGAGTGACGTTTTTTTTTTTTTTTGGGTAACTAGTTACATACATGTGCTGCTCATTTGCCAGATATACAATTTTCAAGTCAAGTCAAGTCTGAGTCTAGCATAATTGAGCTTTAAGTGTTTTTGTTCTTCCCTGTTTTTATTTATTTATTTATTTTTTTTTTGAGGTTTGATTCGCCTTGCTAGAGATGCCATTCTGGCTAATTAAAACTCCAGATTAAAGAAAAAAAAAAAAAAATAAAAATGAAAAAAATTCAGTGCCTACTCGTATTATATTAGTTCACTCGAAGACCATTTAAGGTTTACATTTATTGATTTATTTTATCAACAGCAGCTGGGAATTCTTTCCAGCAAAAAGCCTCGGACGCCCGCAAAATGTCAGCACTTAATATTCGTACATATTTCCAGTACTTTTCAAGTTTTTGTATGCAAATTCGTCACTAGTTAGTATTACCCCATTGTTATTAGCCGATCGTTAAAATAATTTTTATTGAAAATATAACCGTTAAAGTAATTAATTTTGACATGAAAGCTGTTCAAGGGTTTTATTTATTTATTTACTATTTTTGATTGTAAGATTTTTCTCTGTTTAATTTTCCTTCGAACATTTAATATATATTTACTTAGTGGAATACATAAATACTCTTGCAAATTGAGTAGTATTATGAAAATGAGTTTGCAAAACATAAACACTAGGCTTGGTGAGTGTAAACAAGTAAATTTCCGAAAAAAGTATGCTAAAATTATAAAAAAATTTACTTTAAAAAATGTGAGCTGTATTTACAACTAGAAAAAGAGTAATTTTTTCTGGTTTTATACCCGTATTGTAATCTTCTTCTCTTCTTCTTTTTTGGCGCGGTAACCGCCTAAGCAATTTTGGCCGAGTTCAGCAAAGCACGCCAGTCGTTTCTCCTCTGTGCCATCTGACGCCATTTGGAAACGCCAAGTGAAGCCAAGTCCTTCGCCACTTGCTCTTTCCATCGCAGTGGGGGCCTCCCTCTTCCTCTGCTACCACCAGCGGGTTCCGAGTTGAATACTTTCAGAGCTGGAGTGTCGGTGTCCATTCGAACGATATGACCAAGCCAGCGGAGCCGCTGCATTTTAATTCGCTGCACTATGTCCATATCGTTGTAAAGCTCATACAGCTCATCGTTCCATCGTCTGCGGTACTCGCCGTCGCCAACGCGTAAAGGCCCGTAACTCTTTCGCAAAATCTTTCTCTCAAACACGCCAAGAGCCGCCTCATCGGATGTTACTCCTGAATTGCCTACTCAGTCCAAAGTAGCGCTTGTTGGCAAGAGTGATTCTGCGTTGGATTTCAATGCTGACATTATTATCGGTGTTAATGCTGGTTCCCAAGTAAATGAAATTCTCTACTTTCTCGAAATTGTAACTGTCAACAGTGACATGGGTGCCAAGGCGCGAATGTGCTGACTGTTTGTTTGATGACGGGAGATACTTCGTCTTGTCCTCGTTTACCACCAGACCCATGCGCTTTGCTTCCCTATCCAACTTGGAAAAGGCAGAACAGACTTCGCGGTTTTTTTACCGATGATGTCGATGTCATCGGCATAAGCCAGCAATCGCACGCTCTTGTAGTAAATTGTTCCTGAGTGTTTCAGTTCTGCAGCTCTTATTATCTTCTCCAATATCAGATTAAAGAAGTCACATGAAAGGAAGTCGTCCCGTTTTGCGGCGAACGGGTCGGAGAGGTCCTTCCCAATTCTCACGGAGCTGGTGGCATTGATCAACGTCATTTTACACAGCCGTATAAGTTTGGCGGTGATGCCAAATTCAGACATAGTGGCTTATAGGCAACTCCTTTTAGTGCTGTCGAAAACGGCTTTAAAATCGACAAATAGGTGGTGAGTGTCGATCCTTTTCTCGCGGGTCTTTTCCAAGATTTGGCGTATTGTGAATACCTGTTCTATGGTGGATCTGCCAGGACTGAAGCCACATTGATAAAAAAGTCCAATCAGTTCGTTGACGGTGGGCTTCAGTCTTTCACACAATACGCTCGATAAGACCTTGTAACCTATGCTTAGAAGGCTGATCCCGCGGTAGTTGGCGCGAATGGCGGGGTCACCTTTCTTGTGGATTGGGCAGAGCACACTTAAATTCCAGTCGTCGGGCATGCGTTCATCTGACCATATTCTGCACAAGAGTTGATGCATGCACCTTATCAACTCCTCGCCACCGTACTTGAATAGCTCAGCTGGCAGGGTGTCAGCTCCAGCGGCTTTGTGGTTTTTCAGCTGCGTTATTGCTATACGTACCTCGTCATAGTCAGGCGGTGGAACGTCGACTCCGTCATCATCGACTGCGGGCTCGGGTTCTTCTTCTCCACAATTTTCCGTGCTGCTACCATTAAGTAGGGCGGAAAAGTCTTCCCTCCATAATTTAAGTACGCTCTGGACTCACGTATTTCGGCCCTCCCTCTTCAGATCCC